TAATCATCGGTTTTGATGTGTAATATATGGACCATTCTATACCAATTCCCGTACACTTTTTACGTTTTTTTTTACATCAATTAATCAATTGTCGACCAATCATCGATTTGACCTCACTAATGAGAAAATTACATAATCTTTCTTTACGACGATATTCAAATTGTAAAAAAACTGATAATAATTAAAAAAAACTCAGGAGATCAAAATTTATCTTTGATAATGGAAAGAAATGAGTTTATTACTGCTTGTCTTCTCATTAAATTAGTGCAGAACATAAATACAGATATAAATATTATGTCATGATTGATTTTCAGCAGTAAAGCGCTACTCCTCGATGGACCCGCATATTCGGGATCTAGCATTTCTCCTTTAAGAAAGTGACAATGGAGTTCGCTCACTTAAGTCTGGTAAAAGAAATGCCATATATTAAAATCCATAGGGGGAAATTTAAAAGCATAACTCATCAATTATCCACTAAGAAGTTTGTGTTAGCATTTTTTGCAATTTCCACTCATGTCCACAGAAAGGGAAATTATTACAAAACAAAGGTCTTTTGAAGTAAAAAGAGGATTACATTGCACAAAACGATATTTGAACAAGCAGCTTGCCGTCCCTAACGGTAACAGATATCCTATTATTATTATTTCACATATTATTTATTTTTTTTTTAATTTTATTTTGCGATCAATTTCATTGATGGTTGTCTTCCAAATGGAATACCTGTAATCTCTCAAAGTTTCAGATACAAAACTGAATATCGCCTAAACGAATTATCCAATCTAGCCCATCTTTAACACCAAACATTATGGTTGTAACAGGAATCTTACGCTTACAACGAACTTCTTCAAAAAACGTAAAAAATGAAATATCTCGAAAACGTTGTAGGAACACAAAGTATTTCAGGTGGAGATACTTTATTATTTTTGCCCAAGCATTGTACTACATAATCTAGAAAGAGCATGCATTATTTTTTTTGTATTCCTATTATGATCTTCCTATTTTCATAATTCTATACAAGCATGAATCATCTTACTATCACCAGATTCGGTAGAAGTTTACTTATCAGTTTGTTTATCAAGGTCAAAGTATGTGCAAGAAAGTATTTGAATAATTAAACTTTCTATCTACTAAATTTCTCAAAAATCATTTCAATGAATACATAAGTACATACAGTGATGATGGAATTGGTGTTGTACAATGGGATTATTTTTCACAGTATGTAAATGTGCGTTGGTAAAACGTTATTTATATACGTAAGATGTGAATGTGATTTGAACGATGCGTTGAAAAAAACAGAAATGTGGAGATATCTCGGAAAATTTATACCGATAGCTATATAAATTTTGAGAGATGTAGATAGAGGCCATCGAGATGAACATTTGGAAAGAAAACAGTTAAATGGGCCCACTATTTTTCAAGATATCAGACCTAATTGATTAGCACAAAAAATCGAATATCTCCGAAACTACTGGGCTGATTAAGCCCAAATAAAATAGAAATCGTCCCTATCAAAGTACGAAAACGTTTCTAAAATTTCAAGTTGATATGTCCATTTTTGCGGAGGCTAGAGCGCGTACAACGATGTTTTGGAAAAAAAAAAGAAATGCGGAAATATGTCGAAAACTTTTTACCGATGGCTATGTAGGTTTTGATTGATCTAGACAAGGACTATCGAGATGAACATTTTAAAAGAAAAAATAGTTCAATCGGTCGACTAGTTTTCCAAATATTTTAAAAAACGTTTGAACAAGAAAAGGCCTGTCCTCGGAAACTATTGGACTGATCGAGCGGATTCTACGGCCAGAGTTAGTTCAAAGTAGGACCTGTAATTTGACGAAATTTCATATTTTTTGGAATTTTTCTTGTCCTCTTATTGTTGTATTTTTTAAAATTTAATTTTCAAAAATCGGCGAAAGGGGGGGGGGCGAATACAGATATGGTAGCCAAACTTCGTATTTTTACGTTTCAGACCATTCTGTATCATTTCTCATGAAAATTAGACAATGTCAAAATTGAACGATTATGAAGCTTCCATTCGGAAGCAAAAACTTGGAAAAAGAGGCGTTTGCTATAAAGATAATAATGGCTATTATTACGGGAATTAAAAAACCTTTTTCCTTCTCTTATACCCTTTCGGGTCTTTACGATTTGTTCCCTTCCCAGCTCCCATCCCCCTGTACCACATTGGCCGTAGGGGAGGGAAAAACCTCATTCGACGGGAAAAAACTGCTCTAGTACAGTCGTCCTTTTGACAGAACTACCACTCGACAGTGAAACTGTGAGATTAGAGCGCTATAAATTTTGACTGCCGGTGCCCGGGACCGAACCTGGATTACTGGCACGCTAGTCGAGCATTCTCACCGCACGACCACTACCGTCGGTTATTCTTGGATTTATTTTTTAATTGAATAAATAACGTAAATCCTCAATAACCTACTGATGATCAACTGCCTGTTAATTGAATAAAGGACAGAAATACGCAAAAACCACTGATTAAAATTTATGAAACCGTTTTTGTGCTCCTATAGCTCCTACTACAAAACTTGGGTATTGAGTTAGTGGTTAGAGCGTAGCAGTAGTATGCGAAAGGTATCGTTGCCGCCGTAGTCGTTGATTACTAGTAAATCCTAAAAACGAAAAAAATTATTTTTTCACTTTTTGCTAATTAATTGAATGAGTACCTCGGTAGCCAATCATATGCCGAGCATTTCCAGTCTACTCTGTTATTGATTTTATTACTAGCTTCTTGCAATCACCGTGCAAAGGTTAATAATAGAATAAATTTCAACTAACAATGAATGTATCAAATATTTTTGGTAAAAATAATGAGTCTCGGCTGTTAATCGGTAGCCATCAGTGGACCAATCAAGGCACCAACAATCGGACCAGGCTTATCATCCAAGGGTTGACAGAACATTGGGCCAGTCCCTTTTCCAAGTTGCTGTCGAACTTGGCCCGAGCCTCAGCCCAATCCGGCCTTTTTACGTGGGAGATACAAGATTTTGATTTTAGATGAGACATCCACAAGTTTTCGCAACTAAAAGGTCTTTTATATTATATTACTAAACTGATGAGTATCAGTTGTTTTCTGGTCCACTTCGTAGGCTTTTTGAAGACGGTGATGGTATACCTCATAAAAAAACATGTCAAAATGAAGCAAATCATGAAATTCAAGATTTGAGCTTTTGACTCAACTATTTTTTCTTTTGATTTGAGATTTTGGCTTCAACCGAAACAGTTTCGCAATCAAATCATTAATCATTAATCGAAGACTTCTGCTGGTTTCAAGACTATTTTTTGGCACAGGATTATTTCTCCATTAATAGTTGAACGTGAGATATTACTTATATGAGATATGAGATACTATTAACACTGCACTATTAAAAATTTCTCAAAAATTCAGTTAGAAAGTCTACGGAATTCTCAATTATATAAGTTTTCAATTTCAACAAAAAAACGCTTACTAAATTATTAATTTGCCTTAAATCTTAAAAAAAAAATAGTTTTCATGTTAAATAATAATTGATTTTTTAAATTGATACATAAATATCAAGATAGCGCTTTTGTGTATCGGATGCGAAAAAAAATTCTGAAAAAATCTTTGTACAAAAATTCTGCAAAGTTTTTTGTTGTGAAATACAAAAAAAAAATTGATCAACAGGTTATTTTCAGACTTCAAAATGTTTGAATATCCTTGACAATCTGGCAATTTGATGCAATCATAATTCGCCTGCAATAAGCAAGCTTCAGAGAAATATATATGGATTATTATTTATCGCGTAGGGATTTCGATGAATCCGGTTATTTGAATGTGATGACAAATGACAGCCTAAATTTTATGTGCGACATATGGCGTTAATGTTATGGCGTTTAACATATGTATATTGCTCTGAACATTTCACACTAGAGCCTTAATTATTCTCCCATGTAATTTGCCAATTCTAACTATAAACGGTACTTCTGTCAGATCATCTACTGAGAATTTTTGCATCGTTCGGAAATTTTTCGGCGAATGAGTCGAAAAAGGACAAGAACGAATATTATATTTATCTTCGATAGAAATTTGATTACTGTCCAAAATACTGCAACCTGACTAGCCGAAATCTGTACGCCAAAAATAATCCGAACAATAGTAATTCTCTCACTGTACAATGAAATGAAGATTTCCCTCCACCTTCCCTGTAATTAAACAATCATGTCAAATTTCGCAGGAATAGTTATTTTCAGGCCACGCCGTGGAAAACATATCATCCCTCCCCACACGCAAGATTGATCGCATGCATGCAAGCATGTGGGGAAGGGCGATCTCTTTTCCACGGTGTGGCTTCAATCAAATTTTCCCAGGCGCCAGTCTGGAGAAAGCTCCCTGCCATACCCGTGCAACGAAACAATCGCAAAATATTCGATCATTTTTATATCTTCGGAGTATTAAAACTGAATATTTTTTTACATGCAAGGAGTGTACTCCAACACAACTGAAAACAGTTATTAACTATCAACCAAGTTTTTCATTATCCCTGAACAATTTCAAACAATATTGTATATAATATTGAATTATTGGATTAGACAATGACAATTCGACGAATATTTGATGAAATCTCGACCCCGTGCGACAACTTAGTCGTTGGCAATATGAGAAACCATAGTTCGTTATTGCTGTACCAAGCAATTCTCAAAAGCTATCTCTCCACAATGATTTTGCATCTAAATAGAACATGAGAATCTATTCGAAATATTTGCGCTTTATCCTCTTTCCTATATCTACTACAGTCCTTATTATGATAAGAGGGGACAAAGATGTTGCCGACACGTGGAGAGGGGAAAATACTGGATTTTATTTTTGGTAAGGGACTGTGGAGGTATTTTTAAACTAAAACTCAAGCTAGGCACTCGGCAAGAGGAGGCTTGTCAGCAAAAGCCTTCATCACGGATTGAAGAGTCGACGAATGAGTCGACTGAGAATGAGTATATAAATTTCTATAAGCCATTCAATCAATTACCTTGTGAGATGTATACAAGTAGAACGAGACCAAGAATTAGGTGGGCTTCAGCAATTGTACTCAACCCACCAGCGGGTATGGTGTCGTGATCCGTGTCCTCATGATCCGTGTAGTCATGATGATTCCTTCCGAAGCACAAATTATTCATGTTTCGATGAATTTCTCGGCACTCATGGTCCTCAGCACCATCGCATAGACATGTGTTAAGTTTTGCTGCTTTCTCTTGACGTGACAGAATGTCAATCGAATTTTTGCATCTGTGAAAAATATAATGCTATTCAGTAATGATCTGGATTGATAGTGTAAATGAACAATTCTGGTTAGATTAATCAAATTTTACATAAAATTGTTATTCGTTCTGGAATATCATATCTTAGAAACGAATATTGCTAAGTCTTCATACGTAGTATTTATTCGTAAAGAAAAAAATTTTCATTAAATTATTTAGAATTTCATTACTATTTTACAGTGTAAAAAAGAATGACTCCTAGCCAGTCAAGAAACTACTTTTGAAAAGTATAAACAGAAAATTGTCGCCAGATGTTCAGAATAGTTTCCTCATTCCTAAATCGAAAAAATTATATTTCAATTGCACACAGTAGAGTGTGCAGGGGTAAGGGTATAAATAGATCAGAATTTGGCCAGAAAAAAAGAAGACTCCCGATAGCTTAATTGCGCGCCGCTCATCCTACCGGGGGCGATTTAAATACAATGTTTACGGGTGAGGAAGCGCTTCTAGACAGTCAACTAATTTTATGACAAATTTTGATCTTCTTTTGTGAAGCTTATGTTTTTAATTTTCCTACTACTATTTAGAATTTGATAGGCGCCACTCATTGTATAGCTTTATGTCTCTCCTGCTCTTATGTTGAGGGAAACCATGGAAAACCTCAGTAGTCCTGCCGGCCGGTAATGCAGAAATTTTGCTGTGTTTATCATTCACACTGACTCGGTAAACACAGTAGTTCTCGACACCCATGCCTAACGCCGACAGTCTCCACGCAGAGAGGTGTAACTAAGCAGAAAGCCATCCAAGTACTAACCCAACTAAACGTTGCTTAGCTTGGATGACCACCAGAGCCACACACCACCGGCGTGACTACTGCCGGCGCCTAACAAATTTTATTTTTCTCTCTCATTTTTTTTCGATTACTCATTGATTCCATTTTTTTTTCGTTAATTTCAAATTTAGAAGTACCATGATTTCTCTGTCCCCAACTCACAGCTCAAAATTTTCATTCAAAATTATGAGTTACGAATGCATCAAGGGGAAATCGAAATTACAGATATTCCCTCTGAAAAGTAAGAACTACTTTTCCGTACTGCTGCTCACGATTTCTCATCTGGGAATGGTGTTGAAAATCACTGTTGAAAAATACTATCCGGGCTTATGGGATAAGATCTTTTGACGTGTATGGTTGGCCCGTTCTTGCCTGCGGCTGGAATACGAGTAAAAGATCCCATCCGAACAGCCCGGAAACATACTCTTCCACAAGTATCATGAAAACTTTTAAAAAGTAAGTAAAAATACTGAGAGGTAATAGATGTACTTTTGTAAAATATTTTTATAACTTTTCATTTAGCAGAAATACTTACTTACTTTCTACAGGTCTTTTCTGGAATTTTCAAAAGTGAACTAACTAAAGATTCGATCAAAAAAGTCCCAAAAGTTTCTACAAAGAAAAATTCTCTTGCAATCACCCTTTATCAATCAATATAGACATATATATAGTTTACATATTATACTCAAATACTTAACTAAAAGCTCTAATACTTGAAGAGGCACTTACCTGTGAGTACATTTTTTCCCATGAATCATACTTCTGCAATGAAGATGGTAATAAGAAAGAGCTGTTGAACAAATCGTGTCAGCATTACAAATAGTCGTTGCTATCTTGCAGGATACTCTAGTTTTATTCAGTGTATTTAATACTGATGCTCTGCAAACTTCCACTCTCTGTTTGGATCTAATGCACATGCTGTCACTTTCACTGCATGTACACTGAAAAAAAAAGTAAAATGTTAGTTACTTTTACCAAATTTGTTGAATAGAATTTTTATAGTGCTATTTAATAACCTGAGGAATTTGAGCTTTAAAACATTGTCCTTTCCAATTATTAAAATGTGGAAGATAGTTTTTCAATACATAACATTTTTTTCAACGCTATTGAAAAGGGATAGAGCAAGACAATAATGCGCTTTTCAGCAGAAGCGTTCCATAGAACTAGACTTCACGAGAAAAAAAATATATATGTTAATGATTATATGCGACATATATATGACATACTGCATTTTGATGATACGTGATACACATATGCAAATATATATATATATTCAATATACACCTGATAGACAGCATTTATGACCGACATATATTCGAAATATATAATTGATGTATATATCGTTTACAAACTGTTTCCTGTACGGTAAGTCAGGTTTTGCAAAATTAAAGGGATTAATTATATTTGACATATTCATGGCGATTAATGTAAAAAATCGTATAAACATTGGAGTAAATTGTGATATATCGGTCTCATAAAACTCTGAACTCACTGTCATAAGTTGTTTTCCTTCATCAGTGCTCGATAGTGCAATAAGCGTAAGAAGACAAGTCTCTGGACAACTTGTAACACCACCACGAAGGTCACTTGCACAACTCCCGATGTATTGTTGAAGTGCAGTACCACATCCTGACCTAAATGCACATTTCACCCTTGCGTTCTCGCAACTTATGGATATACCTGTTGTATTTGTCTCATCATCTGCAGCAACAACAGTGAGTACCATCAGTGCAGAGAGCATGAAGCTCCATTGAACTTTTCGAGACATTCTCCTTCTGTAAAATTCAATATTGAATAATTAATTACATGAATTACGTATCTCTTCAAATCATAGAATGAAAAATTTCTTGATTGATTTTTTTCGATTTATAGAATTGTTTCGATTATTTTTCCAATCCAAATTTCCGTTAAAGGATTGGCCCATTCGACGTCACGTTGTACCAAGGACCATGGTATTATACTGATAATTTTTTGATAATTTTGTCTGGTAGTTCCTATATATAAGAACAAAATAATATCCAGTCGAATGAACCCTAGATGTCAATGACAGATTTAATTCGATTCCTTAATTTGAATTAATATATATTTGTTTTGAAAATAAAATTTGTATTTGACAACTGTGAGGTTCGTCTCATGGACCAATTCTGTTAACCGAAATTTGGATTGAACAAATAATCCGACGAATACCGCTCGAGCTGCAAAATTAATCGAGTATTTCCCTCAAGGTTCCCTGCAAACAAACGAAGTCGTCAAGTTTTTCAGGAAAAATTTTTATGCCTGAAAAACTTGACTCCTTCATTTGTTTGCAACGCACCTATCGGGAAATACTCGATGATTTTGAAGCTGTCGTGGTATTACAACTGAAAATTTTTAAGAAATTTTAGAATCAGCGATTGCCGAGATCAACAAGCAAAACTAAAATTATTATACTAATATGAACATCAGTAAGCAGCCAATGGAGAAATTAAATCGGACCGACAAAAATAATGAATCTCCAATGAAAAATGAATTTAACAAAAATAAAAACAATACATAAGTCAGTGATATTAATATTGAGAATTTTCATTGCCTATAAATTGGCAATCGACAAATCGATAATACTCAATATCTAAGTATAATCTACATCAATCTGTAAAGATTATCATAAAATGAAATAAATTCAAAATATTAACACGAATATTGATGAGAATAGTATTAGCGCTGAGCCCTGTTTAGAATGGCATATCGGAAGTAAAATATTACGACAATTATTTTCAGCCACAAAAATACCCATAATCTATCAGTGAGAGATATGTTCAATCTATTTTTTTTTTCAGAGTCAATTGACACTTTCTGCTCTCAAAGCCCACTTTTTAGTTAAAGAATACATATGCTATACCATTTTGAAGCTTATAAAATCAACTTTGAAACGGCTGTTGTGTCATATCCGCTTATTCATGTTAATTATAGTCATGATCTCAAAACATTCGTTTGAACGTAAAATTCTGTCTCACATTCAAATTTTTTAATGTGTTGTTTCCATAATCTTCTGATCTTTAATGGTTAAATATATATGTGGGTCACTTGGATCAGTTGAATAGGTTCCGAAAAGGAACTAATCATTTGTTTAGATTTTTTTCAGGAAAATCTCGACGAATACTCAACCACCTGACATTTTTTTTCAAAATGCTCCTCCTGATGCCCTTCATCTTAAACAATGAAAATATATCATTTTATCTCAAGTCGAATCGTTTCAAATCTGAACATCTCAGATTCATCTATTTTTAAAATCATCTTTCTACTCGATAAAAAACGCATCCAGATTTTTTTTTAGATTTTTCCATTAGTCCTTCATTTTTGTATGATTTTTCTAATGCGGAGACGAAAGCCACCTTTTAATGTGATAAAGCAATTGAACACTGCAGTTCCATTCACAACGTTGATATTAATTATTTTTTTCAGTTTTAATTGAACCAATGATTAAATATACTAATATATGACTTAAACTGAACTCTATCACCGATATAACGTAATCATACTCGTTGTGAATTGCGAGTCATCCGAATATTTACTGCAATTACAAGAGTAATGTCCGCAGAAATTTGGCTGTACTGCGTCGGTAATAGTAAATTGTTTTGATAGTGATTCGGTAAATCTTCACGTTATTTGATTGTATCTTCCGCGACTTTGATGATCGAAAACTCAAATTTCCATCTGTTTTCTACAAAACTGGTAACAATGAATTATTTCTTGGTATCGATGCGTTTTTTGAACGATTTATGGTCACTGTACTATGGTCACAGCAGTACCCATTAAGTGACGAAGTTCTAGATTCTAAACTCTGACTTTCGTTATTCTAATGTCGTGATCAATCAAACTTTTCGAAATAATTACCACATTTTTTAAGACACACATACATACATGGTGCTCAATTCTATTCCTTTCACGGCTATATCGCCTCTCACTCAAGTAGGAGGCAATTGCCGAATGCTGTTCAAATTTTATATTTCTTCATTTCCGGTAGAATACGCGACTTGAAAAAACAACTGGTTCGAAGGCTTCTATTAGAAGGAAAAAATTACAAAAATCGCTGAATTTTATGGAGAATTACAAGAATATCAGGTTATTTATCGAATGTCATGTTGATGCAATTACCGGGGGAGGTGAGGGCCAGAAAATGTATATTATACGAAATTTCGAAAACAGTGCTCTTTAAATGAAACTCAGTTAAAAATTATTTAGGCAATTTCATTCAGTCAGCTTAGCAATTCTGCAATAATAAATCAATTATTGAACTTTTAAAGTTGGATAGGTAATGGACTCGGTCGCATGAAATTTGAGAATTATTGTCAGACTTTGAAGAAAATTCCGGCATAAATTACAATTGAAATGATTGAGAATCGAATTTCAGTAACTAAACACAGTAATTCAAAATTAGCAAATCATTTATTGATAAATTTTGGAATTTATCCAGTGGTCAAATGACATGTATTATTTTTATGAATATTAAAATTTATCATCATGAGGACACTGATGATTTTGGTTGAAAAGCAGAAAGAAAAGGCATCAACTTTGAGGACGCTTGCGCGGTCGCATCGGCGCTCGTCCTATCTACGTGGGAGGTGGACATTTGTATCGAATCAAATCAAAAATTTCGATGAAGCTTAAAATCTGTCACATTCCTTCCTCACCGTTTATTGATCGCAACTTAAACTTATTTCCACTCAAACTTCATCTTTCATTGGCGCGTATGTACTCTACTGTACGCGAGATTTTCTTTCATTGGCGTCTATGCACTATGTCCTGTGCACGAAATTTCTCATGGCGCATATTCATAGCGGCATTCTATATGAATTTAATTAAAAACAAGATTTTTCAAAATTTGTAATGCCTGAAAAGTTGAGAGTCTGACTGATTTATCAGTAATAATAACGAGGAACTTTCATAGGAATGTGTTATGCTTAAATATTCGAAACTGTTTCGATGAAATTTCAGGAGTACTTTTTCAATAATATACTCTCACAGATTAATGATCTGTGACGGAAGACACATTGCTACGCGCACGTTCGGTTTCTAGTTATTAAAAATTAAAACATTTGGAAAGAATTTTTCGACCCTATGTCGGAATTCTGTTGGAAAATCGTGAAGTGTTGCAGGTAAGGAAATAATATTCTCCGGAAAATTTTAATTATATCAAGTTTTTCATAACTAATTTCGCATTCATAAAAATCCATTGAGGGATCCGCAATGGTGGTTTTCAAGGATTTCCCCGGCTACAAAATTATCACTCTTTCCAAATTTTATTTTTCTCATTCGAGTGAAGATAGTTTATTGCCATATTCCTTTAAAATGTTGCGTGGTTATTAAAAGCGAAAATACCCACAGTCTTTTATTAGTTTCCATGTTAGTTGGGTATTTTCCAAAATACATCTGGTGACCAGAAAGGGCCAGGAAAGGGAGAAGACAAATATTTCAAGAGATGGAAATTATATCGCTCTTTCCGGGGCAACAGGGCCTTACTTGTACCTGAGATACGTCTTCAGTCTCTTCTAGATATTCATTGTATAAAGTGCCTTCTGTCTGTTATAAGTCTTAGATATATTTAAAATTATTTTAAAAGTTAACGAACGGGTTAGCCTTTTTTAACCACATAATCCAATACAGAATAATCGATTTTTGGACCAATATAAGTGTACTCAAATCTCTTGAAAAAGTAAAATTTTATTTGCTAACAACTGCCATAGTTTCTTGAAGTCCCTGTATCCCTTTAAAAAATGATGAAAACTGATAGATTCTTTATAAAATTATTTTAGTCAAAAAACAAATTTACAAAAAAACACTGCCTATATGGGAGCAATATATACATATAGCGCACCGAAATGCAAGGCGAACAAACTAGGGGGAAGTGTAAAACAACTCGCGAATGAATTTCGATTCGCCCAAACTAATATGGGCCTCCTTCGTATTCAATTTATTCAAAAATACGCAATGTTATTAAAATTGTTCTGAGCCTTTAAGTTAAAAATCATTTTATAGTAACTATAAGTAAAATTGAGTCAGATATTAATTATTACTTTCGAATATTTAAGAAGAGATATGCGCAATTTTCATTCTACATTTATTTTTCATCTTGTTTCATTGTGTTCCGCTCGCTCCTACATACACCCCGATATACCATCTAAATATTGCAGGCTTTGACATCTAAACCATATATGTAATTGTACTCTAAGAAAACAAATTGGAAACATAAATTTGAACGACTGCAAAGTTTTATGTGTACGTAAAATAACTATTACAGTGTAACTGAATGTTAATGATTTTTGGATCATCATTTTCACCAATCGAGTCGTATAATTTAATAAACTACAAAGCCAACAAAAAGAAATGGATTGAGTGGGGGGCGTGATGAATTGCTCGCGCTATATAGCGGATCTGAAGCTTTGTAATACTCAATATCACACATACTTCCGGTATCCTCGTGTCACATGACCGTTCATTTCATATGAATGAAAATCCATTTTGAGGTGTAAATAAACACATACTTCCGGAGTATACTATTATTTCAATTAGACATATAAATAGACCGTTAATTTGAATTAGAAACATAGTTCTTTATTCCAGGAAAAATTGTGGGCACTCTGTTATCGGCACACTGGTAGAAAATTGGACTTGAAATTTTAAGGCAAAAAGCTTTGGAATTATTGCACACAAAGGAATACCATGCAATTTTTATAATTATTTCTATACTATTTTTCAGTGAATGTCTTAAATATGCAACTAATTCTCAATTGTCAAA